TAGAGAATATGATATAATAGAAAATAAAGAAGAAAGAAGATAATAAATATATAGAAATAAATATAATTGAAATAGAAAATATAAAGAAATAAGAAAGTTCAAAAAGAATATAATTAAAAGATAAATAAACAAGAAATAAAATAATAAGAGTAATAAATATATATTAAAACATTAAATAAAATTTATGGAATACAAAAAGAAGAAAGAAGAAGATATACAAAAAGAAATAATAGAAAATAATCAAATGAAAAGATTAATAGAATAAAATAAGAAATAAACACAAATAAATAAATACAAAGAAATAAAGAATAAAATATAAAAAGATGATAAAGAAATAAATCAAAAGAAGAAATAATAAGAAAATAACATATTATAAAAATAAAGAATAATAAATAATCAGAAAGAATTTGAATCAAATTATAGAAAAAGAAGAGAATAAAGAATCAAATTAAATCAAAAGAAATAAAATATATAAATAATATACAATGATAAAAATATATTTATTACATATTATAAATTAACAAATAAGTATAAAATGATAATAATAAATGAAATGTATTATAAACAATTTACAATACAAATATATTTACTTAATATATATAATAAAATAGAAAATATATAATATAAATATATGATATAAATGATAACAATATATCAAAAGAATATAATAATAAATTGAGTAAATAAAAAGATTTTTAGAAAGAAATAAAAGAATAAATAGAAATGAAGAAATAAAAGAATATAAAAGAGATAATATATAAATTAATAATAAAGAAATAACATAAAACAGAATATCTAATGAAGAAAAACAATAAAAATAAAATCATCATAAACAATATAAATTAAATAGTATTTAATTTACAATCAAATATATTTGAATTATTAAATGAACTAATTGCTATTTTTTATTTATTTTATGCACACATTATTTAATTATTGTTTTATACTATTATCATATTCCTTTCATTTCTTATAATATATTATTATTTGAGTATTATTTCATATTTAATGAGACCGAAATCAACTAAATAATGTCATAAATATTCTTATCTAATCAGTAACTTCTTTCTATACACTATTTATAAATAAAATTCACAATCTCATAAATTGCCTATTTAAGAGACTAGTGGTTTAATTCTTAGTTTTGTTTGTTTAACGCATAATAATAATAATAACTAGAAATTCCAACTCTCTTTCATTTACTCTTTGGTTTAGTACTATTTCGTCTGAAGTTCTTTTACATTATATTAGTAATATCAAATCAATATTTTTGTTTGATATTTAAGAGCGTTTAACTCAGATTATAATTTAATTTTTTGAAGAAATGAATGTTAAAAAACAACAAGACATTAAACTAAGCAACAATGAAAAAAGTTAAAAAAAATCAATCTTAGACTTATAAAAATAATTGTTTAAGCAACTTGAAAAGAAATAACAGTCTGTGTGAAAGGAATTAAAGCGTTTCTTGAATGAGAATGAAATGTTTGAACTAGTTCAGTGGCTTTGTCAACAGGAATATGAAGAGAATTTGAGAGTTTAGAAGAGAGTTGAATTAATTGCTCTGGAGTAGTAATTCCATTTAACAATACCTTTAATAAAGAAATGTATGATTTTCCTTTCAGTACTAAATTAAAAACAAATTCTATAGTATCTACACCAAGCGGAATACAGCAAGCTATTGACTCTAATCCAAAAGATGCTACTTCACTATCTCTTTTAAGACCTTCTAATAACACAGGGACAACAGCATTAAGTAAAGTATCTTTAATAATATCAATGTGATCTGAACATGAATTAAATTCTTTCTTTATGAAACTAAAAACACAGTCATGAAGTTCTATTGAAGAGCTTAGAGTAATTGGAACGATAACATATTTAAAGATAGTTTCAATAATAATTTTACTATTTCTAAGCTCAATCAATTGACAACAACATTCAAGAAGACTTGGTGTTATTAGTGTTACTGGAATCTTTGTTGTTGAAGGGAAAATTACTTCAATAAGGATAACTCTAATATCATTTGATATAACCTTCTTACTAAAGAACGTTAATAAAAGAGATAATGCTGGTTTACATAAGTCAATAATTTGTGTATCTTCAGAAGCACTTTTAATAATCAATAAATATAATTCTCTCATTAACAATACTATTTGAGGAAATAATGGAAATGCAATATTTTTACATTGAGCAAGAAAATGTGTTAATGAAATTAAATGAGGAAGAATCATTTGAATTGCATATGGAGTTACTCCATTATTAAAATAAGGGATTGATTCTTTAAATTTAACAAAACTATTTTCAATAATCATTCCAACATAATCATAATACATTTGTTCTGTTTGAGAAAATGACTGTGAAACAACTCCAAGTGCATCATAAAATCCTCCTCTTAAAGTGTTTGGTAATTTTTCTCCTGACGTACATCCTTTATAAATTTCATCAATACATTTAATATTATTTATAATTGCTTCTGAACATGAATAACAGACTTTTACTAATGTACCAACAGCAGTACGTTCAATAACAAACCGTGGGTCATTTACAAATTCAAATATCTTATGAAGAACAACTCCTAAAATTTCACTTTTATGACAAAGAAATCGAGGAAATTTTGAAATTAAAGCCATTACTAGTTGTGCAATTAATTCTTGTGTATTTGATTCTGTTTGTTCTCCAAAAAGAGTTAATAAAAACGTCAACGACCGTGTAAAAATAATAGATTCAGTCTTATAAACAACTTTTCCTGAAATACCAATAATTGCCCAAATTGTTTTGATTAATTTTAATTCATCTAACCCATCTGCAGTAGATGATGATATTAGGTGGTCTATTAATTCTTCAGTAATTCCTGATTCACATAGTACAACTAATGTACGAATGAACTGGTCATAGTCAACTCCACCAGCTTCAACGTTTTCAATAAACCCATCGTCTTTATTAATAAATAATGTGTTTGGGGGTTGAGGAATTTCATTTAATATAATCTCGAGAATACGAATATGATAAGAGTGAATAGTCATTGGAGTGGCTTTACAATATCTTCTCAAATATTTCATACAATATTTACTTGATGAACACTTCATCATTAGCTCAAAAAGTTGTGAAGGTGGATCTGTTTCAGGAAGAATTTCATTAAGACATAATGCTAATTCATTAGATGGTTTAAGAGAAAATGTAATTTTATTAATAAATTGATTTAAAATATCAACTTTAGATTGTGGGTTACTTTGAATGATATTGTGAAATGTTTCTGCTAATATTACTAATAATTCTTCTTGGTATTGTTGAATATAATTTAAACAATTCATTGCAACAACTCCACTAGTTTGTGGATTAACAAATGAAATTGTTTTTTCTATTGTTTTAAGAGCAAGTAAAGTTAAATCAGACAAATGACTTACAGAGTACTGAACACATAACAACGCATCAGAGTTTGAAAAATTAATTGATTGATCAAAGAATTCAATAATAGTCTTTAGTTTTATGAATGCAATAGACTCATCATATTGAAGTAGTGTTTTTATAGAAGACTTATCCTCTAACACTATAGAAGATGAGACATAGAGATTAATTAATTTATTATATAACAATGGATTAGTTTGTACTCCAATTAATGAGTGCCAATGTTTAATTGATAAATGTATTTTCTGTTTAAGTTCTTCTGGATAATACATGTATTCTGGAGATTTAATTGTTGATTCAAAGATATTAAGTGCAAAAAGGTGTGTCAAATCTGATGACGATTGACTTATTATATCATTAACTGATTGTATTGAATGTTTATTTGAAGCAAACTTAGAAAGAATTCTTTGTGATGTATTAATTTGGTCAATATCATTTGATCTCGACATTTCAACAAGTTGATCAATGTAATGAACATCTAACGGAAGAGTAATTTCCTTCATAACTTTTTCAGTTTTTTATTTTATTTTTTAATTTTTATTGTTCATTTGTTTTATCAATAACCTTCTGAATTATTATAAAGAAAGAGTTTATGTTGTTGATCTTTGAGTAAGCACTAACTCAGTTTATCAATTTCATAGCCATATCTTTTAATTTTGTTTTTATCATCAAAAATAATTATTAAGTACTTTTTTTATTCTTTAACTTTTTTACAAACATTTGAAAAACTTTTATTTCGACATCAGATGTGAATACAACATAAATGATTTATATACTCCTTTCTATTATTTTCATTAATAACACACTATTCATAAATCTAAAATAAATAAAATGTTTTTTAAAAATTTCTTTTTATACTCTTTGTTTTTATTAAATAAAATATTAATGATAAATATCTTCCAAAAACTTGCTTAGAACAAATCACCAAATCCTCCAAAATCTTCTTCTTCCTCTTCTTCTTTAGCAGCTGGGGCTTCTTCTTTCTTTTCTTCAGTCTTAGTTTCAGTAGCAACAGCAGTAGCAGCAGCGGCAGTCATGTTGTTGAAGATCTTTTCAGCCAATGGGAATACAACACCACTCTCTTTTGAGAATCCAAGGAGAGCTTGGAATGCATTGAGCATAATGTGTGGGCAGGCTGCTTCGGTTGGGAGATTAGCGGCAAGTGAAATAGCAGTAGCAGCTTGAACACCTTCTTGGAATTTCTTGACAATGTCAGATTCAGTTAAGTCAAGAGCCTTAGCATCATAAACAATACCATTATCATAAACTACATCAATGACAGCTCCATATTTGAATGGATTAATCTTTAATTTTTGAAGAAGAACAGCTTGTGATACTCCAACTTTTTCTCCTTCTTTAATTAAAAGAGTTTCTGAAGTAATTTCAATTTGACCTTTAGTAATCTTTGATGCAATATTCAATGCTTGGACAAAGTTAGTTTGAGTTGGGTCAAGTCCTGTATCACCAGCTGGTACAATAACATCATTTGGTGCAATAACTCCAGCTTTAGCTGGTGATGGTGCTTTAAGTTCAGTAAGTTTAGCCTTTAATTGATAAAGATCACCTTTAGTGAAAATGAATCCAACATTACCTTTAATGTGTGGAAGAAGTTCTTCGAGTTCTGGTTGAGTTTCTGCTTGGTTCTTGATGGCTTTTCTAATAAGAGTATTCTTTCCCATAACAAATTCACAAGTTCCTCTTAATTCTTTTCTGATAGTTTGGAATTGAGATGATCCGACATTATCACATTTAACAACAACAACTTGTTTGTACTCTTCTAAGAGTTTTTTCATCTTGGCAAGATATGCTTCTTTCTTAGCTTTCTTTTGTTCTTTACTTAAACCAGCTTTGTGTAAAGCCATAGCCGCAATAACAAGTGTTTCAGGGTTTCTTTTCTTGGATCTCAGGGTTTTTCTTTTTCTTATTTCTTTAGTTCTTTTTACTATTATTATTGTCTTTTTTCTTTATTGAATAACATAAAATATTTCTATTCAATTTGTGTTTTTTATTTTATTATGATATTTCTCTGTTCAATACATTATTATTGATTGTTGATTTATACAAAAATTCACAAAATGAATAACTGATATGTGTTTCATTGTGTGCTCTTTCATCTTTTTGTTTATTTCATTAGTCATCTTTTTTTTTATAACTATAACTTTCTATCATCTGTGAGATATACAACCAAAAATAAAAACAAGATGGTAATGCGAAGTATTTCTCATGTATAAAACATTTTATAATAATTAATTTTGTATGTTGAGTTATGTAAATAAGTTTATGTAGTTGGTACATTCAAATATTAATTTAAAAAAAGCACTGTTAAATTTGTTATATTTAATTCTATAAAACGAACATTGAAATCATATAATGAAGATACAACCATTTTATGTATTTCATTAAAACAATCTATTTTTTTACGAACTAAAAATACCAAAGTCATTACTACGTGTTTGTATGGGCTTATTAATATTTTATTGAATAGATAAGTTATTTTCTAAGATGATAAACTTATGGTAAATTGGTTATTTTTTTATTCAAGACTTGAATTAGTTCACTAACAAAATGTTGGTAAGTATTTATTACTTTGTGATTTCATTGTTTAACAATAAAAAAATATTAATACTTTAATAATTTATTGATTTATTTATGTTTTTCAAAAAATTGTAGAATTTTAAAATATGATGAATTACAAAAGTTATCTATTATTTTTATCTTACTGAATATTTATATTATTCTTCCCATTTTTATTGTATTCTGGAATTATTTCTTATTATTTTTATTAACACTATTGTTTCTGTATATTTTATAGGTCTTTTTACAATTAATGTTTTTGAAATTTACTGTCATTTAATTTGATTATTTTTATTGAATATTTGTTTCATAGACGTTTTAGTTCAGTATTATTGTTTTGGTTCTTCTTTCATGAGGGTTATGAGGTTAGGTATAATAAATTACAATTAACAAGCACTAATTCTAAAATTTATCTTCTTCTGTTATTTTTTACTTCTTTTGTTTTAATTAATCACAAAACTCAGACTTAAAAATTCTAAAAGTTAGAAGAGTTATTTTATAAAAGTTACCAAAAAACAATGGAATGTATCAGAAAAGAGTTAAAAAATAATGAGATTACACTAATTTATTTTTATTAAATATCAATATAATAATAATTTAATCAATATTTCACATTTATTTAATCTGTTAATTATTTTATTTTCCTTATCATTTTCTTTTTTTTTCAGATCATATTTAAATTTTAAATTTTATTTTAATCAAGGTTTTCTTTTATCAAATCTTTCATTTGATAATTATCATTAACTATTAATTTTTATTTCACATTATTCTAAAATTGATTGATAATATGAGGTTAAGTATGTGGTTGACTATTATTTATTTTCTAATATACTTAGTTCATTACATTAAATATAATTACATTATTATAAGATAATAATTGATTATGACAAAATCATTACTGAATTTAACTAATAACAATATTTCCTTTTTAATCAAAAGAAATTTTCTATTAAGTGATTAATAATTATTCGTTGCCTTTTGTTAATATTTTATATATTAAATTTGAATGAGCTTTTAAATAAATCCTATTGATAATAATCAATAATAAGTTTTCAGAAAAGAAAAAGAAATAATTATGCTATCGTTTCTTAAGATATTTTTTGTTATATATAAAGTAATAATAAAACAATTATTTGATTTGAAATACCAAGAAAAAACAAGTTAATTTATTATATCTATTTCTTATCTTCTTTTCAAGTCATTATTATTTCTATTAAATAGAATAAACTAACATTCATTATTTAGTTATTATCTTTATGTCTTATTCTCACTTTACTTCAGTAAATATTAATCAATAATACAATATTAACATAATACTTTGATATAATTTTTTAAACAATTTTATGTTTGGTTTTCTAATAATCACTTATTTTGGTTATTAGAAGCCATTTGATTTAATCAAAATGACTAAAAGTATTTCTTCTATGTCAATGGTTTGTACTAAATTTAAGTGATATATACAACAAGATAATAATATATTAAAAAAGTAAATTATTGTATTTATATAAGTTAAGGTAATTGAAATAACAAAAATAAAATGGTTACTTAGTTTTTATAAATTAATTTTTGGTGCATTAGGTTAATAATAACTTAGTTTATGTTGTGTATTAGAGAAAGAAATGTGTTTAATTTTCTTATGGAGATATGGAAGTAACAAATTGTTAAAGAAACATTACTAAAAAAAACTGAACATAAATAAAATAGTATTATAGACTAAATAAAGTGATTTATTCATTTTGTTTTATTCTGTTTCCTTACTAATTTAAAATACTTTCTTGTTTCTTTTTTTTTTTGAGTCGAAATAACGCAATTTTGTGTAATCAGTTAATTATTTTAATTAAAGTCAAAGAAATAAATTGTTACCTTATAGTTATTTCATTAAATCAATA